TCATAAAAGTTTGAAAGTGCCAGTTTCCATATATCTTAAGATGTTTTCAAGTCTTAGGATGAATAATAGCTGTAGAGACAGTTGGTTTATTATGCTAAATTTATCAATTTAGTACAAAGGGAAGATTGTTATTACTGGGACAGGAAGGCACCCCTGAGGTTTAGAAACGGTCTTATTGGCTATTAGGTGGAGAACTATAGCTTGACTTTTACAAGAAAAATGCCCTTGGAGGTTCTCTGCTAACAGCCCTCACTTCCAACTTACAGCTGAAGACACCATCTCCCAGAGAGCTTCATGGAGCCTGACTTAATGGACAGAATACATCTGGATTGCAGTCTGGTTGTGCCCTGGTTTCATGTCCTGGGTAAATCAGATCTTCTTCAGCCTCAGTTTCCTTACCTGTAAAAGGAGATAACATTCATATCCCACAGAGCTGGTAAAACATTAAACAAGCTTCTATATAAAGTGCTTTACACAGTTCCTGGCACAGAGGCGCTCAGAAATAGTCCTTCCCTCCCTCTATTGCCCGTTCACCCAAGATTCCATAACACGCCATCTTCCGTGTGCTTCCTCCTTCAGCTGGTGTGGGCTCATAACTGGTCCAAAAGGACTGTTTGCTTAGGCATATGGCTCTTCAACTCTATTTCTAAACATGGGATCAGGTTTCTCTCTCGTAAATCCACAGCATTAACTCTTAAGATCTCAGCAACTATGATATGATTGGGGACTAGCTTTGGGCCATGACAATGACAAAACAGATTTTGTCAATAGGTGTTTGAAGCCCAGTGTTGGGCTGAGTTTTCTTTGTTAATCCCTGGTTTCAAAGAAGGAAATGGTTTTTTTGCCTGTTTACTTTGCCTGAGTGGTCTGCTGAGGTCAGTAGAATCCTATTAATTATTGAATTCGACAAACATTGGGTTCCTCTAAAGTTTCCTGCTGTTCTGAGACTTCATGCCTTAGAGTATTAGTTTAGATAGTTTCTGAATTGGAGTGGAGGCATTACACGAGCTTTAGCTATGTGATAGCTTTATAAGTGCTCTTACACTCAGTGTGTGATGGTTTTCTTCTCTCTATGAATTGTCCATGTTCTTAACATCAGCTTTTCCTTAACTCTCTTCTTTGGTCATCTGCATCTTACCAGTGACCACTTCCTGTATTTCCAAATTATAAATCCTTTTAGGGTAGGCATCAAATTATTTATGATTTTGTCTTCTGCAACATCTAAGACAAGTACTTTGTACATAGCAGGGGCCAAAATGATTAAGTGAATGAATAAAACAATGAATGAATAAGCAAACAAAAGTTTTGTTACAGTTTTGTTTCTTATACTAAATATTCAGGTTCCTCATAAAAGTGATAGAAATTTGTGAACTTAAGCGCTCATAATCCCACCATGAAAGAAAGACCTCTCTTTTTTTTATTTTTAAAAATATTTATTTATTTAGTCTTTTTCAAATTCTTTTCCCACTTAGGTTATTACAGGATATTGAGCAGAGTTCCCTGTGCTATACAGTAGGTCCTTTATGGTTATCCATTTTAAATATAGTAGCGTGTACATGTCAATCACAAACTCCGTCTTTAAGAAATGAGTTGTACATCAATTAAGAATAGGCTCAGCAGAGACTGGCAGGAAGTCTAAATCAGAGTAGCTTGGATAGATGTGTTATTCAGTGTACTTTTGTCTGACATAGTAGAAGCTCAGAGGTATCCATCCATGGCTAGTGTGACTCCTCAGGTGGCAGGCGTCTGGGCTTTTTCACCTTGCAGCATTGCTATCCTCAGTGTGTGGCTTCCACCTTCACGGTCCCAGATGGCTATTCAAACTTCTGCGATCACATCAGCATTCCCACCTGAGAGAAAGGGGAAGACTACACTCTTTCTTTTTTTTTTTTTTTTTTTTGCGGTACGCGGGTCTCTTGCTGTCGTGGCCTCTCCCGTTGCAGAGCACAGGCTCCGGACGCGCAGGCTCAGCGGCCATGGCTCACGGGCCCAGCTGCTCCGTGGCACGCGGGATCCTCCCGGACTGGGGCACGAACCTGCGTCCCCTGCATCGGCAAGCGGACTCTCAACCACTGCGCCACCAGGGAAGCCCCACCCTCTCCTTTAAAGACACTTACTTCCCAGAAGTTGCTTCTACCACTTCTGCTTACACCTCATTGGCCAGAATTCAGTCACATGGGAGCCTAGGAAATGTAGTCTTTAATTTGGGCAGCTGTGTGTCTGGCTAGATTCTGGGGCTCTGTTGCTGAAATAAGAAGGCTTGGACAGATATTGTGGGACAAATAGGTTTCTTAGCCACAATTTCCCATTGCTATTTGGATAAAGTATAAACTCATTGTTCTGACCTTTCTGATCATCACTGCTTGGTCTCTGGCCTCATCCCTGGTTACTTGTGTATTTTAGCTCTGTTTTTCTACTTTCATTTTCTGTGAAGGACTGGGCTCCACTCCACCTCAGCACCTTTGCACATGCTCTCATTGCTGGGATTTAGGAATCCCAGATTGGGTTTCTCTGTCCCCATGATACTTTCTCATAACATCTTGTACTAGCTCTTTGTAACGCCTACCACAATTACAATTATAAATTATTTATGTAATTATTTGTTTTATCTCCATCTCTCCTGCTAACTGTAATTCATCTGAGTGCAGGGACTTTGTTCATGGCTCTATTTCCAGAATCCTAAAAGCATTTGGCACAGATTAGGCACTTAATAAGTCTTTGCTAAATAAATTCATAAACTTTCTAATGGAATGTTCTCACTTTACAGATGAGGTAATAGTTTAAACATGAACTGAGGAGTCTGGATTCTAATTTCTTTGATCAGTTGGTTAAAATGAAGGTTTCAGCTAATGTTGCAAATCTTCCTGAAGTGTTCCGTTCTAATTTCTTCCTTTGGGAAGGACAGTGCATCAAACAGTATTTATTCTTCCTTTGACGGTCAGGGTCTTAGTGTGCCCAAGGGTCAACACTATAACCATTGATCAACACTGACCGAAACGACAGATGCAGAATGAGAAAGAAATTGCATGGGGTCTGTCTGACTCTGGGATACGGCTTGGAAAGTTGCTTTAAACAAATGTGCTCGACATTCAACTCTTTTCTTCTCAGTCACCTCTTTCTCCCAAATGTAGTGTGCCAAAAAATTCTAGTGATTGTGTTTCCCAGTTGATGAAGAATTTATTTTATGCAGGAATTGTCACCCTTGTTTTGAAAGAAAAAATAACTTTGTAAAAAGTGTCAGTCGCATATTGGGGCTGTGAGTGACAGTCATGTGTGAGTTCAACAATTCTTATTTTAAAGCAGCGGAGGAAAATGGCATTATTTCTTGTCATCCTGATCTTTAAACATCAACTGCTAGAATCAACACGAAGGAGGGAGGCCAGGAAGAAGGAAGCCGATCTTTGGAATACCCTGAATCCCGGTGATGGCCCAGAGTTGTCACAGAATGTCATGATTTAAGAAGGTAAGTTGTTTGGAAAGCTGTGAGTCTCAGTTGTCCTGGTATATGGGACTTTGATAGCTGGAGGAAACAGAACCTGTCCTCAAACTCCAGTATATTTATGACATTTGTCCCAGATTTTAATTTAATAAGATATGTCTTTCATTTTAAGAAGTTTGTACTTTTAATCTTTTCCTCTAATTCCCTGTAACTAAAAATGGACGTTTTCTTTCTAAGCGTTTAAAATAGCTTTTACCCCGAGGTCAGAGGCTCCTTTCCCTTCCCCAGCACCTCACTGCCTTCCTCAATGCTGGCACCTCTCGCCTGTGAAATGCAGAAGAATAAACAAATCAAGGAGCTAAAAGGAGGAGATGAAAGGGCGTGGAAGCAAAGTGTATGATGGTGACAAACTTTAATTTGAACAGAAGCTGGTTCTAGAGTCCCAAACTGTTCTCAAAATAATTTATCTTCTAGAGAAATTTAGTCATCAAAGTCTAAACACTAACCAGGAGCAAAGGCTAAAATGTTACCCATTTAAAAATGCTACTTCACAGTGTGTATCAGCAATTAACACTTCAGATGGGGTTGGTGTAGTTTAAAATATGCACCCATCTATTCTAGTTAAGAGAAAGCCTGTGGACCTAATCTTAGTAGTTAAAGTTACTAACTTTAATTAGGCAGGCTAACTGTCAGTCAGTGAATGTTCTGGCTACTTAATATTCAGTATGATGTGATCAAGTAGGGATGCAGTCAATCAAATGGGGCTCCAGTTGGGGGCAGAGTGAGGGGTGGGGAGAAGGCGTTTCCAGGGCAATGACAGGATACAGGTAGTGTCATGGCTATCGCGTGTCTGCCCAGTGGGGAAATCTATTTTCGGCTTGGATGCCAATGAGGAAGTGATGCTTCCTGTCACACAGATGTTAAACAGCCCCTCCCTGTGCCTTGGCTAAGTGGCAGATACCACCCAAACGTAGGCGGAGTGCTCAGAATAGAAAAAAGTCTAGTACGGTGCTGCCACTCTTGGGAAAGTAGGTAAAGTTAGGGACTTAGTATTTTGGTAGGCAGAGTTTATCAGAGAAGTCAAAACCTCCTTAACAATATTCTGATGAGAGCTCAGTTCTGCTTCGCACCTGGAAATAAGGAAGGAATCAGGGCCAGTAATGAGAGGATGCGAGAGGAACACAGAATGGAGCACACAAGAGGGAACCAGCATGCCTTGGAAAACAGAGAAGGAGGATCTCTGTGAATGCCTCCCGGACTGAGGGTTGTTGCTGGTCTGCGGACTGTTGGCTACTGGTCTGCAATGTGAGAAACACAGAGATTTAGAGAAAGCATTTAGAAAAGATGGTAAGAATTTGATATTGCCACAATGTCCAAGTGTGGTCCTGGACTCTTGTAATTTATCTTGTACCAGAGCTGTCTTTTTTTTTTTTTTTTTTTGTGGTATACGGGCCTCTCACTGTTGTGGCCTCTCCCGTTGCGGAGCACAGGCTCCGGACGCGCAGGCTCAGTGGCCATGGCTCACGGGCCCAGCCGCTCCGCGGCATGTGGGATCTTCCCAGACCGGGGCACGAACCCGTGTCCCCTGCATCGGCAGGCGGACTCTCAACCACTGCACCACCAGGGAAGCCCCAGAGCTGTATTTTTGTCTGGGTTGGAAGCAATAAGATAACATGGGAGACATACACCTGAGATCACTTAAGACACAGAGAAATCCATGAGGAACAGGTGGGTATTTATTTTTATTTTATTTTTTATTATTTTTTTAGCATCTTTATTGGAGTATAATTGCTTTACCATGGTGTGTTAGTTTCTGCTTTATATAACAAAGTGAATCAGCTATACATATACATATATCCCCATATCTCTTCCCTCTTGTGTCTCCCTCCCTCCCACCCTCCCTATCCCACCCCTCTAGGTGCTCACAAGCACCCAGCTGATCTCCCTGTGCTATGTGGCTGCTTCCCACTAGCTATATTAGGAATGAAACTAAAGACAGGCCTGAGAGCAGGGGAGCAGAGGTGGGACAGAAGCAACAGCGGGCTTGTCTCATTGAACAGGGTATGGACCACTTTGAGCAAATTCACATGGTAAGACATGTGTGGTGTGATAGTTTAGTTTGCCAATTTTAACCCAAAAGTGTATAAAATCGAGAACCCACTGTTCATCATAAGATGATTTGAAGTTATTATTTAAATGGTTAAATTTTAAGACTGGCTACAGATGAATTATGATGGGACAACAAAAGTTTTTGAGTGTAAGAGTGATTCTTGATATAAATCACCTACACACATACTTCTGATGAAGCATGTGTACAATTTTCATAATTCTTTTCTTTTATCATCGATATATTTGTTAGACAGTTGTCTGAATCATAAGGCCCCACTGGAATATCAGACAAAATGCTGTTGCTTAGAATGGCTACAACTGGGTGTGCCAAACCTTCTGGAGTATTTCTCAAACCAGTGAGACTGAGTTCTCGCGGGGTATGCTACAAACCTTTCCAGTCCTCTGCATTTGAAAGGCTTACATTTCCACTTCAGTAAATTACAGTTTATAAAAAAAAGAAAAAAAAAAACACACCTACATTATCAAAATGTATGTCCTGTTCCTGGATTCTTGTAACTTATCATGTACCAGAGCTATGTTTGTTTGGGCTGAAGGCAACAAGAAAAACATGGAGATATACACCTAGACTACTCACACTCTACAGAAAGCTGCACAGCAATTGAGGGAGGCCGTTGCCTGAATGGATAGCTATTTAGGAGTTAACCAAGGACAGGCATGATGGAGCTCAGGGCAGCAGGGGCTGGGTAGAAAAAGCACATAGACACACAGTCAGGATATGTGGATTTGAGTCTTGCCTCTGCCTCTTAACCAGCTGCGTAATCTTGGGCAAGTCACTTAACCTCCTGTGCCTTGATTTTCTCATCTATAAAGTGGGAAACATGACATACTTTTCTGGGTTCCTTTTTTTCTGTTTCTTTTTTATTTTAATTGTGCTGAAATACACATAACATAAAATTTACCATCTTAATCATCTTTAAGTGTACAGTTCAGTGGCATTAAGTACATTCACATTGTTGGCTACCATCACCACCATCCACGCACAGACTCTTTCCATCTTGCAAAACTGAAACTCTGGACCCATTAAATAACAACTCCCCACTTTTCTGGGTTCTTGTGCAGTCTGAATGACAGATCGTATTGTGACTACAGGTGATGGGAGAGTTAGGCCTGGGGGAGAGCAGAAAATGTAAAGGGCCAGAGAGTAAACATTTTGTCTTTGGGACTGTCTCTGTTGCAACTATTCAACTCTGGTATTGTAGCTTGAAAGAAACCATATAATAATATGTAATTTAATGTCCTAATATACGTTTACGTATAAAACTAGGCGGGCACTGGGCTGAATTGGTCCAAGGGTCAAAGTTCATCAGCCTCTGAGCTAGGAGACGAGAGACTTGAATTCGAGTTCTAGCTCTGTTTTTATGTAGCCAGGTGACCTCGTTATTTCTAGTTTTTCTATCACCATGGGACCCTTCCAGGTCTGTTCAATTCTATGCCATTTGGAAGAGTAAGGCAGATGACAAGGAAGCTTGCGAGAGTGAAAGGATTTTAATGAACATTTTGATTGAAAACAAAAATTATAGCAGTACCTAAGGTGAAAAATTAAAGTGTAAGTACAGTCTGAGTATGGCTAGGAAGAAGATAGTATAAAGCTTAAAAAAAGACAACAAAGAATTGGGTGACTTCTTCAGTGCCCCAGGAGATCAAACAGACCGAAGATGATACAGGATTGACCTCAACCTCCCTGCCATCAGGGAATCCCCCCCTCAGCCCAAGACCAGATGGTGGTCTGGAACTCAGGGGCCTGATCTCCTCTCTCCCTGAGCGTGTGAGCAGAGCTTAGGGCCTGAGTGGGAGGGAACCAGTAGCAGATGTTATCATTGCCAGCCCATGACCCCTCCCTTCCTTTGCCTGCATGTGGGGCAGGCCAGAAATGCTGACAGTTAACTTCTCAGGAGCTTCCCCCAACCAGTGAGAGATGGGAGGTGGTCGGTCAATACTTGTGCTCTCTCTCTTCTCGGGTGAGCCAACTCTGAGTTGTTTTCTGCACTGTTTCCCAGAGGTTCACACAGGATGGAGCCCTCGGTTCCCACAGCAAGAAGCTCATCAACACATCCTTTATTGGCTTCATTCCTTGTCTGTCTTGCTTCCCCTCTCTCTTACCAGTGATTCCTGGGATCATCTCTCCAATGAGCTACTGATACCCAGCTTTTTGTCTCAGGGTCTGCCTCTTGGGAAACTCAGAAGAAGACAAAACCACGTGGTTATGCAGTCATTAGGAGAGAGCCAAAGGCTTACACAGGACCAACACTCAGGACCACAAGGAAATGCCCTTCATTCAGTCTGCACCCTGGAGCACAGCATCTTCTAGAAGAAAATTGGACCTTGCTCATGTGTCAGGGGAAGTTTTAGGTGTGCAGTAGGTGCTGAGTTCCTTCTCTGTGCAAGAAAGCTACTCCTCTGTGGCCACCAAGATGAGAAAAGCACAGTCCTACCTGGCCAGGGGCTCGTCATTTGGTTCTTTCAGGACAGCAAAAAGGCTTTTTAGCTAATAGTCCTTCCTTTCAGTTCTAATCAGAAGGGATCTTCGTGGAGTCTTCACACTTGTTGATGGCTCAAGCTTTGGTCCCAGAGGATGTCTCTCAGCTTCTGAAACTCTTTTAGCTTTAGCTTGTTTCTGGACTTTTGAACATGCTCTTCTTTCTGCCTGGAATACTCATCCTGTTCATTGTGCCTGGTTCCCACTCCCCATGTCATTTCCTATGGGAAATCTTCCCTGATCTCCCCTAGATCGAGGTCGATATCTGCTGTTATTATGTTCCCTCAGCGCCCTGTTCCTCCACCATCATTGCACATATGAAATAGTATATGATTGCTTATTTAATTATAAGGTCAGGGTCACAGCTTATTTATATCCTTACCTCCAGTGCCTAGCACAGGGATGGGGTGCTCAATAAATATTTATTAAATGAACAATATGCTTAAAAGGTAAAGGACCCATCCTAGGGCTCCACGGTGGATTATAGAGCAGCTGTAGGGAGGAGTAGAGGCAGAGGTGATCACTGATAAAAGTCCAGATTTCTTTGCACTCCTCACCTAACCGTCTCCAAAGGCTCTGGGCCAAAGTTACTCAGTAACAGAATAGCAAAGCCCACACTTGGGTGGTAAGGTTGCCAGCCTTCAAATATCTCAGCCAGCCAGCCAGCCAGCCATTCCCTCTATCTACCCATTCATCAAAAAATTATTGAGTTCCTGTTCTCTTTGAGGTATTATGCTAATCACTGGAGACATGAAGATATCTGATCCCTGCCCTTTAGAAGTTAAAAGTCAGTCCGATTGAAAAAAACATTAAAAGCTATTGCAAGAAATTCATCAGTAGAGATATTATTAACTATTGGAGAACTTGGGCAGAAGCAGGTACTTTCTGCTGGTTGCCTTTACCCCCCGTTCTTCAACAATGTATCATTTGTTCACAAGCATGGCTCCCGGAGTGGGGTTTACCTCTTCCCCGCGGGTAAATGCTTGGCTGTGGTATCACCTGCTTCCACACGGCTTTATTTCTTCTTCCACACTTTTCCTCATCTTTGCTAGGAGCTAATTCCTTGAGGCCTGGAATCTGATGCGTGACTGAAGGTTAGAGCAGGGTGGATGGAGTAATGGGCATTTATCTTGCCCCATGAGGGGGTTCCAGTTGTGCCTCTGTTAAACCTATGAGAATAATTTAGCTTCCTGCCTTGACTTTCGGCTTCCCACCAATTCGTGTTAAGCCTCTTCTTATTGGGCCCATAACATATGCATTAATAATAGTAAATACCTCTACACAGTGTTTTACACTTTTCTAAGAACTTCATAGAATTTCAGGATTGAAAGGAACGTTAGAGGTCGTCATGTAGTCCAGCCACCCACCCATCTGATGTCCACATCCTCTCTATAGCATATGCTGAAGCCCCCCACTGCCTGCTAAGATAGCTCCTCCACTTTGCTGATCTGGAGTCACTCTTTCCTGCAAAGCAAACCTTTGTAAAGTAAATGCCTCCTTAACTGCATGACTAGAGTCCCCAGTTCTCAGATTTAGTTCCCCAAGCCCTTGATCCCATCTGTTCAATACCTTGTTCTCTACTCTCCCAACATCCTTGCCTGTCTCTTAATACCCCCTAGGCCCATCCTTCCAGTCCAAACCATCATTCAGACTCCCTCTCCCTCTTCCTGGATAGGGGACCATAGATAGTAGTCCTTGGGTAGGACCCCTCTATTACAGGCACTTCGGTTGCTATAACAAATTATCCCAGTAACATAAACATCATTACCTGCTCATGGATCCTCAGGGTCAGGGATTCAGACAGCTCATAGCAGAACTGGCTGACCCCTGCTGCATAATGCCTGGGGCCTCCGCTGAAAAGTCTAAAAGGATGGGAGATTATCATCTCAAGTTTCATTTACTCACATGTGTAGCGGTTAATGCTGGCTCTTGGCTGAGTAGACTTAAACAGCTAGGAAATAGCTAGAACATCTGCATGTGGCTGCTTGGCTTTCCCACAGCATGGTGACTGGGTTCCCAGGATGAGAGTACCTAGAGAGACAGACAGAGAGAGAGAGCGCCAGGCAGATGACCTATCCTCAGAAGTCACATAAGATTATTTTCTCTACTGGTCAACATAGTTACAAAGATGTGCCTCCGTTCAAGGGGAGAGAATATAGGCCCCCATCCCTGGATGTAGGAGTGGCAACATCACGTTGTAAGAACATATGGGGTAGGATGTGTATTGGCCTGACCGTCTTAGGAAAATACATCCTCCTAAGTGCGCAACGGCTATCCTTCTATGCTCTGCCCTCAGGGAAGCCCTGTGACATGGACATCATCATGGACACAGTTCTGTAGTCAATATTCCTTTCTCATGAATAAAACCACTTTCCTTGGAACTCTTACACTTAGACCTTAGTTCTCTGTACTTGGGGCAGTCTGTTAATTTCAGTGCATTAAGGAAATCTATAGTACTCCAGGGGGTTTTGGCCCCTTAGGCTAACCATTCCACTTTTGGGGTTCTCATTCAATCTTGTACATTCTTCTCTGAACAAGCTTAAGTTGTTTTTTTTAACCCCTTTAAAGTGTTGGGATCCCAAATCAATGAATATATACCTCAGATGTGATTCCTCCATTTCAGTTTAGAAAAGGATGAGCACCCCTCTCAATTGAGATCTTGATTCCATTTAATCAGCTTTTATTTTTCATAGTCACATGGTAGTGTTGACTCATACCCAGCCTACAGTCAACTAAAACTCCCAAATAATTTCATATGTGTTGCTACTAATCCCTATTCCTCATTCTGTACTCGAGTTGGGCTTTAAATAGGCCAAAGTTCAAACTTCTACATTTTCTCTGTTCAACTTCATCTCATTAAATTTATCTCATAATTCCAGCCTGTTAAATCTTTTTTGGATATTGAGTATTATCTGATGTAGTAGCTCTCCCTCCAAAGTTGCACGTGGCCTAAAAATTTCTGTTACACCCTCAGAGCTCACATCCAAGTCATTGATATAAAATGTTGAATAAACATGTGATTTTTCATTTGCTGTGGACACTGACCATCAGAAAATCAGGCAAAATCATTTGAGATGAGGGAACCAGGACTGAGAGAGGTCCAGGAGGTACTCAAAGTCACATTATAAGAGATGTGACAAAGGAGGAACTTGAACCTGTGCTCTCTGCTCTTTCTGCTATGCTGAGATATTCATCCAGCCCTGGACACTTGCCTAAGGAGGGGTCGAGGGAAGAGCAAACAAAAAATAAGTTGTGACTAAATATAATGACAATAGAATGAGAAAAATGAGATCTGACAGTGACTTGTGGGAGAGATAGCACAAGACATTTTTTGCTTAACCTCCACTTCATACCACTGTGTATCTTTTTCTCCTTACTCGCAAATGCCTGTATGTTTTCCAACCTCAGCTTCAGAAAGCTGTTTCCTGAGGTGTCTCCTTAGCTACAACCCACATGAACACAAATCTCCTACAAGAAGACAATAGCATACAAAGATGGGAAGAAACTGCTGTGGCTGTTAAGGTTATGGTGATAGGAATGAGCTGAATAGGCGGGTTGATCAACCGACTGCATTTGCCTGGGATGGTCCCGGGAAATCCCTCAGTCCTGGGAAAACCACATGGTTGGTCACCCTGTGACTAGTATACTGCAGCCTTCTGCTCTCCAGTCTCCTCTTTAATGCTGCAGTGGAGTAACGATGGCCACAGATTCTTTGACCCCTTTCCTATTGAGAAGTGGGGTCTGTATTCCCTACCCTTGAACCTGGGCAGCTCTGTGACTATATAGAATACGGCGGAAGTGATGCTGTAGCAGTTTCCCAGCTCAGGCCTTAAGACACTGGAAGCTTCCACTTGCCATCTCTTAGAACACTTTCTCTTGGGGCGCTGAGCCACCATGTAAGAAGTCTCTGTGACCGCCACGCTGAAGAGTTCACATGTGGCCACTCTCGTCAACAGCTGGACACAGCCTTCTTTCCGTCACCGTGGCACCAGACATATAAGTGAAGCTGTCTTGGATCCTCCAGACCAGCTCATGCGCCAACTGAATTCCATCGCTGAAATCACTGAGTGATCTTAGTTGAGGCCATATTGAACAGGAGAATTGCCCAGCTGAGTCACATTCAAATTCCTGGCCCACAAAATTGTAAGGTATAATAAGGAAATGGTTGTGTCCTCAAGCTGCTGCATTTGGGGTAGTTTGTTATGAGGCTAGAGCTATCTGAGGTGAATGTCGAAACTGACCTAAATAAACCATCCTAATCTTTTTACCCACCACTCTAAACAGTAGCCCATCACCAAATAAGTGTTCCACACAAGATCTATGCCACCCTTGCCTAGTGTCAGCAGGCCTCTTCTGGGTGGGCAAACAGTGCAAGGTGAGCTGAGATGCTGCCTCTGAATCCCTGCATCCGCTCTCCCTGCATCACCTTGGCAATGCCGTGTGGACACACTTCCTTCCCTCTGAGCTGGCCCATCTCTGTGCCCTATACTCCAAAGACTCCTTCCTGATGAGACTTACATCTTTCATTTCAGTCTTTGGCATGTTGTTGGCAATAACAGAATGCACCCCTGTAGGCTGCAGACTCCACCCCTGTAGGCTTCAAACTCCACCAAGTGAATTCTCACGCAGCCTCACATTTATCTAGAGCAGCAAACACTTGACTGCTCCTTTCCAATTTAGCTCCATGATGGAAAATCTGATTGATGAAACTATAGATTCCTGGAGGGCAAGCATTGTGTTTTAAGTGTCCTTGGGTCCCAACAGCTTCTCTCTGGATGGATGAATACATTCTCACCACTCTGGCAGCAGTGGTTAGCTTTACTTCTGCTACTTCCCTTGCCTAATATTTTCACTTAAGCCCTTTCAGTGTCTCCTCGTTCCTGGAGAGGTTAGGTCTTAAGAAAGAACAGAGCCTACTGTTAGCAGGGAATTGTTAAATAAGAAAGGAGAGAAAGGGTTCTGCCTCATTTGGAGACTCCTAAGCTTTCAGTTCTCACTGAGTAATTTGCTTCTGATTTTGTTTCTGGTTGAAATCTTTCAAGGTTCTTGGACAACGGGAAAAAGGCAAGTGACACATATATTCATTTGTGGTGCATTGGGGTGACAGGAAGAAATGTCAAGGGTATAAGGCTCATAGAGTCAGCTGGTAGGGGTCAGCTATATGGGAATGTGTTCCCTAAAGAATCTCGGATATTGGAGCTGTAAGGGGCTGATAAGGAAAAGAAGAGTAGGTACGTGGTGACAGAGATGATGATCAAATTAGGACAAGGACTCTCGTCTCTAACCTCCTGGTCAAGTGCCCTTGACACTACATTATGTTATAATAATGCAGGTTTCTAGGTCAAGGAGAGGGGCCCACATGCAGTTTTCTCTCCATTCTCTCTCCAAGTGCCATTGGAATGTTGACGCAGAAGTTCCAGAGGAAATAAACCTCCGAAAGTGTGGAGATTGGGAGCAGGTTAATCATCCCGTGAGAGTTACTAATGACTGTCTGGATGGCAGACGGCAAACGGGGAGCACATTGACAGGTGAGTATATAGAGGAACCCACCACTGCTGGGCTGAAGACTGCATCTCAGCCTGGAGCCCTTCTCCCCAGGAGCCCCGGGGATGCTGGACGCCTGCAGCCACCATGTAGAGAGCGTTAGTCTGGGAGGTGGGATAGTAAACGGTGGAGGGAGACAGCCTGTGGCAGAGCTGTGCCAATTGCCCCCCTTCACCACTCTCAGGCATCCGTGATCCCCTCACCCGCCCGTGGAGCTGCAGGAGAGCCAGCAGTCATGGGTTCATCCCTGGGCCAAACCTGGAAGCATGATCAGCTACACCTGTGACAAGAGCTGCCTGGGGAGAGAGCGAGGGCTTACCGGGTGGAGGACTGGAGTCCCAAAGCAAAGCCTCTTGATGCTGGCGTGGTTTTTTCTTTTTCCATTTTAAAAGAAATTATAGTATAGTTGATTTACAATATTGTATTAATTACTGCTGTACAGCAAAGTGACTCAGTTATATATGTATATATATATGTATATATATATATGTGTATATATATATATATATATATATACATCCTTTTTCATATTCTTTTCCACTGTGGTTTATCACAGGATATTGAATATAGCTCCCTGTGCTCAACAGTAGGACCTTGTTTTTTATCCATTCTATATATACCAGTTTGCATCTGCTAATCCCAAACTCCCAGTCTTTCCCTCCCCCACCCACCCTCCCCCTTGGCAACCACCAGTCTATTCTCTATGTCCGTGATTCTGTTTCTTTTTCATAGATAGGTTCATTTGTGTCATATTTTAGAGTCCACATATAAGTGATATCATATGGCATTTGTCCTTCTCTTTCTGACTTCATTTAGTATGATAATCTCTAGATGCATTCATGTTGCTGCAAATGGCATTATTTTATTCTTTTCTATGGCTGAGTAATATTCCACTGTATATATGTACCACATCTTCTTTATCCACTCATCTGTCGATGGACATTTAGGTTGTTTCCGTGTCTTGGCTATTGTGAATAGTGCTGCTATGAGCATAAGGGTGCATGTATCTTTTTGAATTATAGTTTTGTCTGGATATATGTCCAGGAGTGGGATATATGGTAATTCTATTTTTAGTTTTCTGAGGAACCTCCACACGATTTTCCACAGTGGCTATACCAATTTACATTCCTACCAACAGTGTAGGAGGGTTCTCTTTTCTCCACACCCTCTCCAGCATTTGTTATTTGTAGGTTTCTTTTTTTTTTTAAACATCTTTATTGGGGTATAATTGCTTTACAATGGTGTGTTAGTTTCTGCTTTATAACAAAGTGAATCAGTTATACATATACATATGTTCCCATATGTCTTCCCTCTTGCGTCTCCCTCCCTCCCACTCTCCCTATCCCACCCCTCCAGGCTGTCACAAAGCACCGAGCTAATATCCCTGTGCCTTGCGGCTGCTTCCCCCTAGCTATCTACCTTACTACGTTTGTTAGTGTGTATATGTCCATGACTCTCTCTCGCCCTGTCAAAGCTCAACCCTCCCCCTCCCCATATCCTCAAGTCCGTTCTCCAGTAGGTCTGCGTCTTTATTCCTGTCTTACCCCTAGGTTCTTCATGACATTTTTTTCCCCTTAAATTCCATATATATGTGTTAGCATACGGTATTTGTCTTTTTCTTTCTGACTTACTTCACTCTGTATGACAGACTCTAGGTCTATCCATCTCATTACAAATAGCTCAATTTCATTTCTTTTTAAGGCTGAGTAATATTCCATTGTATATATGTGCCACATTTTCTTTATCCATTCATCCGATGATGGGCGCTTAGGTTGTTTCCATCTCCGGGCTATTGTAAATAGAGCTGCAATGAACATTTTGGTACATGACTCTGTTTGAATTTTGGTTTTCCCAGGGTATATGCCCAGTAGTGGGATTGCTGGGTCATATGGTAATTCTATTTGTAGTTTTTTAAGGAACCTCCATACTGTTCTCCATAGTGGCTGAACCAATTCACATTCCCACCAGCAGTGCAAGAGTGTTCCCTTTTCTCCACACCCTCTCCAGCATTTATTGTTTCTAGATTTTTTGATGATGGCCATTCTGACTGCTGTGAGATGATATCTCATTGTAGTTTTGATTTGCATTTCTCTAATGATTAATGATGTTGAGCATTCTTTCATGTGTTTGTTGGCATTCTGTATATCTTCTTTGGAGAAATGTCTATTTAGGTCTTCTGCCCATTTTTGGATTGGGTTGTTTGTTTTTTTGTTATTGAGCTGCATGAGCTGCTTGTAAATTTTGGAGATTAATCCTTTCTTAGTTGCTTCATTTGCAAATATTTTCTCCCATTCTGAGGGTTGTCTTTTGGTCTTGATTATGGTTTCCTTTGCTGTGCAAAAACTCTTAAGTTTCATTAGGTACCATTTGTTTATTTTTGTTTTTATTTCCATTACTCTAGGAGGTGGGTCAGAAAGGATCTTGCTGTGATTTATGTCATAGAGTGTTCTGCCTATGTTTTCCTCTAAGAGTTTTATAGTTTCTGGCCTTACATTTAGGTCTTTAATCCATTTTGAGCTTATTTTTGTGTATGGTGTTAGGGAGTGATCTAATCTCATACTTTTATATGTACCTGTCCAGTTTTCCCAGCACCATTTATTGAAGAGGCTGTCCTTTCTCCACTGTACATTCCTGCCACCTTTATCAAAGATAAGGTGTCCATATGTGCGTGGGTTTATCTCTGGGCTTTCTATCCTGTTCCATTGATCTATCTTTCTGTTTTTGTGCCAGTACCATACTGTCTTGATTACTGTAGCTTTGTAGTATAGTCTGAAGTCAGGGAGCCTGATTCCTCCAGCTCCTTTTCTTGTTCTCAAGATTGCTTTGGCTATTCGGGGTCTTTTGTGTTTCCATACAAATTGCGAAATTTTTTGTTCTAGTTCTATGAAAAATGCCAGTGGTAGTTTGATAGGGATTGCATTGAATCTGTAGATTGCTTTGGGTAGTAGAGTCATTTTCACAATGTTGATTCTTCCCATCCAAGAACATGGTATATCTCTCCATCTGTTTGTATCATCTTTAATTTCTTTCATCAGTGTCTTATAATTTTCTGCATACAGGTCTTTCGTCTCCTTAGGTAGGTTTATTCCTAGATATTTTATTCTTTTTGTTGCAATGGTAAATGGGAGTGTTTTCTTGATTTCACTTTCAGATTTTTCATCATTAGTATATAGGAATGCCAGAGATTTCTGTGCATTAACTTTGTATCCTGCTACTTTACCAAATTCATTGATTAGCTCTAGTAGTTTTCTGTTAGTATCTTTAGGATTCTCTATGTATAGTATCATGTCATCTGCAAACAGTGACAGCTTTACTTCTTCTTTTCCGATTTGGATTCCTTTTATTTCCTTTTCTTCTCTGATTGCTGTGGCTAAAACTTCCAAAACTATGTTGAATAAGAGTGGTGAGAGTGGGCAACCTTGTCTTGTTCCTGATCTTAGTGGAAATGCTTTCAGTTTTTCACCATTGAGGATGATGTTTGCTGTGGGCTTGTCATATATGGCCTTTATTATGTTGAGGAAAGTTCCCTCTATGCCTACTTTCTGCAGGGTTTTTATCATAAATGGGTGTTGAATTTTGTCAAAAGCTTTCTCTGCATCTATTGAGATGATCATATGGTTTTTCTCCTTCAATTTGTTAATATGGTTTATCACATTGATAGATTTGCGTATATTGAAGAATCCTTGCATTCCTGGAATAAACCCCACTTGATCATGGTGTATGATCCTTTTAATGTGCTGTTGGATTCTGTTTGCTAGTATTTTGTTGAGGATTTTTGCATCTATGTTCATCAGTGATATTGGCCTGTAGTTTTCTTTCTTTGTGACATCCTTGTCTGGTTTTGGTATCAAGGTGATGGTGGCCTCGTAGAAGGAATTTGGGAGTGTTCCTCCCTCTGCTATATTTTGGAAGAGTTTGAGAAGGATAGGTGTTAGCTCTTCTCTAAACGTTTGATAGAATTCACCTGTGAAGCCATCTGGTCCTGGGCTTTTGTTTGTTGGAAGATTTTTAATCACAGTTTCAATTTCAGTGCTTGTGATTGGTCTGTTCATATTTTCTATTTCTTCCTGATTCAGTCTTGGCAGTTTGTGCATTTCTAAGAATTTGTCCATTTCTTCCAGATTGTCCATTTTATTGGCATAGAGTTGCTTGTAGTAATCTCTCATGATTTTTTTTATTTCTGCAGTGTCAGTTGTTACTTCTCCTTTTTCATTTCTAATTCTATTGATTTGAGTCTTCTCCCTTTTTTTCTTGATGAGTCTGGCTAGTGGTTTATCAATTTTGTTTATCTGCTCAAAGAACCAGCTTTTAGTTTTATTGATCTTTGCTATCGTTTCCTTCATTTCTTTTTCATTTATTTCTGATCTGATTTTTATGATTTCTTTCCTTCTGCTAGCTTTGGGGTTTTTTTGTTCTTCTTTGTCTAATTGCTTGAGGTGCAAGGTTAGGTTGTTTATTCCAGATGTTTCCTGCTTCTTAAGGTGGGCTTGTATTGCTATAAACTTCCCCCTTAGAACTGCTTTTGCTGCATCCCATAGGTTTTGGGTCGTCGTGTCTCCATTGTCATTTGTTTCTAGGTATTTTTTTATTTCCTCTTTGATTTCTTCAGTGATCACTTCATTATTAAGTAGTGTATTGTTTAGCCTCCATGTGTTTGTATTTTTTACAGATCTTTTCCTGTAATTGATATCTAGTCTCACAGCATTGTGGTCGGAAAAGATACTTGATACAATTTCAATTTTCTTAAATTTACCAAGGCTTGATTTGTGACCCAAGATATGATCTATCCTGGAGAATGTTCCATGAGCACTTGAGAAAAATGTATATTCTGTTGTTTTTGGATGGAGTGTCCTATAAATATCAATTAAGTCCATCTTGTTTAATGTATCATTTAAAGCTTGTGTTTCCTTATTTATTTTCATTTTGGATGATCTGTCCATGGGTGAAAGTGGGGTGTTAAAGTCCCCTACTATGAATGTGTTACTGTCGATCTCCCCTTTTATGGCTGTTAGTATTTGCCTTATGTATTGAGGTGCTCCTATGTTGG